CTCGGCGGCAGGGCGGCTCGGGTCCCGGGCGGCTCGGCGTCGGGCGGCTCGGCTCACGGGCGGTTCGGCTGCTGAGGCGGCTCGGCCAGGAGATGCAGGGGCGGGGCCGTCAGGTGCAGCGGCGGGTTGACCGGTGCAGTGGCGGGCCGGCAGGTGCAGCGGCGGGCCGGCAGGTGCAGTGGCGGGCCGGCAGGTGCAGCGGCGGGCCGGCAGGTGCAGGCGGCGGGCCGTAGGGTGCAGTGGCGGGCCGTAGGGTGCAGTGGCGGGCCGGCAGGTGCAGCAGCGAGGCCGGCAGGTGCAGCGGCGAGGCCGTCAGAGGCGGCAGGCCGCTGGGTGCAGCGGCGGGCCGGCAGGTGCAGTGGCGGGCCGGCAGGTGCAGCGGCGGGCCGTAGGGTGCAGTGGCGGGCCGGCAGGTGCAGCGGCGGGCCGGCAGGTGCAGTGGCGGGCCGGCAGGAGAGGCGGCGGAGCCGCGTCAGGGGAGGCGGCAGGGCCGCGTCAGGGGAGGCGGCGGAGCCGCGTCAGGGGAGGCGGCGGTGCCGCGTCAGGGGAGGCGGGGGAGCCGCGTCAGGGGAGGCGGCAGGGCCGCGTCAGGGGAGGCGGCGGGGCCGCGTCAGACAGGCGGCGGGGCCGCGTCAGGAGAGGCGGCGGAGCCGCGTCAGGGGGTGCGGCGGGGCCGCGTCAGGGGAGGCGGCGGAGCCGCGTCAGGGTAGGCGGCGGGGCCGCGTCAAACAGGCGGCGGGGCCGCGATCAGGAGAGGTGGCGGGGCCGCGTCTGAGGGACAGCGGGGCCGCGAGGGAAAAGGCGACCCGAGGGGGTCGCTAAAAAAAAGGCGCGCCTCGGGGCGCGCTTCGGTGGGCCCTAAAAAAACGGTCCTAAGGTAGGACCCGCTCTATACCATGTGAAGTAAAGAAAACAGGAATGAAATGACTAAGGAAAGATTGGGTACAAATACAACCCTAGAAACCCTGTACCCCATATGTGCTACCCCACTATAGCCTATAGCAACTATGTCATATAAATCTGACAGCCTGTTGCAAGATGGCAAGGATAGCACGGATGACGCGCTGAAACCGATCAAAGCTTCATGGAGCAATATAGGCATGAGCATAGCTACTGACGGATGGACAGATTCTTCAAACCGCCCGCAGATGAATTTCCTCGCCGTGAACACTAACGGGGTTGTCTTCTTGTTCAGCATTGATTGCGGTACAAAGAAGAAGAGCGGCGAATATATTTCGACACACCTCAAGAGAGCCATCAGAATGGTTGGAGCTGAGAATGTGGTGGGGCTGCTAATGGACGGCGCTAGCAACAATATCAGTGCGGCCAACATTGTCAAGGCCGAATATCCAAAGGTGCAGTACATCCGATGCGCGGCTCACTCCCTCAACAACTTGATGAAAGACATTGGAGGGCGCAAATGGGCTGCCAAGTTCATTGAAGAACCCAAATTGGATCTCGGGTTACTTTCGTGAGCAGAATTCTCTTGTGCTACTTAAGCCCGAAGGCACTCGATTCGGAACGAATTACATTGCGCTACAACGTCTTCTAGATGTGCGTCGTGTTCTTGTTAAAATGGTGCTGACCCCAGGATGGACAGCAAATGCACATGGGAAGAAGCGGATGCGGACATAATTACAACAACGGGAGCTAGACTACGGGCTAGGCACGGGTGCTCGAGTGATCTCTGCGTTCGTTGTTCCTTAGTCGTCTTCCTAGTGCACACACCGCTTGCTAGTTCACGAGGCAATTTGGCAAGAGTTTCACCAAGGAAAGTTGACAACAATGGTACACATAAGATAGCAAAACTATACTACATCAGAGCTAGGATGCAGGCAAGTCGACTGCCAGCGTAGCATGGTCGACCGCATGCCAGCACGACTTGGTCGACCACGTTCCAGCAGTGCAGAGTCGCGGCTTGCCAACGCTGCAGGTCGACGGCGTGCCAACACCGCAAGTCGACGGCGGGCCAGCGTTGCTCCCGCAGTACAGCATTGCACCAGTTTCGCAAGTGCTCGCAGATGATTGGCGTGTTGAGCCTTGTCACATGCACAACGCACACACCAAATCAACCTGGCGCTGACGACTGCATCTGATCAGCCACGTCAACCTTGGGATACCACCACCGAGGTCGGTCTCGCCAAAACCACCTGGGCGACCATCGTACTCTTCCGCAGAACTTCGTCACCCAGGGAACCTGGTCGACTGGGCAACCATGTCAACCAGCTGCTCCTGTATGTGCCCGTCGACCTCCCAAGTCGATGGCCACCTCCAGTCGACCTCACCAGGTCGACCACAACCTTTGTCGACCAGGAGATGGTCGACGTAACTCCTGGTCGACCATCTCCACGTTGACCAGCACATTTGTCAGCCGACCACCCAAGGAGGCTACCCGAAGTCGGCGTCACCAAGTTGATGCCCTGCTACTCGACGCGCAGCTGGTCGGTGTCGTGAGTCGTGGTCGACGTCGGCCCCTCCTCCGTCGACCACCAAGTCAGGTTGACCACCAGGTCGACAACACTCCTGGTCGACTAACCACCAGGTCGACCAGCGGTCCTGTCAGATGACCACCCAAGTCGGCTGCCCGAAGTTGGCGTCACTAAGTCGACGCCCTCCGCAGGTCGACTTCCCAGGTTGACCTCCCCGAAGTCAGCGCCACCCTTAAATCGGCGCCCGTGCAGTGGCCCCCGTGCAGGTCGACCTCCTCATCAACCAGCTCGCCCACTGCTGCAGGTCGGCTGCTCCCCTCACACCCGACCACGAAGTCGGCTCCGCCCAAGCGAGGACGGGGCCAAACCCAACTCCTGTTGACACTCCCTTGACGCGTTCACGCTTGGGCCCCAAGACCACACGGTAGTACTCCTCGGAGAATAGCTCGTCGACGTGCACCCAACACACAGCACGTCGTCCACCGCACCAGCCATGCAAGAGGGCATGGCACCTACTGCTGCACGTCGAAGTCACCGTCGCCCACGTCGGCCAGACGCACTTGGCCGATTGCAACGGAGCACCGGTTGAAGGCCGGATAGTGCAGCGCCTTTATCACGAAGTCGGCTGGCTGCTCAGCGATCGGGATGTACTTCAACGAAAACTTTCCGCGCTTCACCATGTGCTGCAGCCAGGCTTGTCGCCGCTCCATGTGCTTGAGGTTGCCTGTCAACCCCATGCTCTCGGCGACCGTGATGGCCGACTGTTGTCCATCCGAAGGACGGTCGGCTTCCCGGCATCCAGCTGCCGAAACTCTGCAAGGAGGAAGCGAAGGTGGTGTCCTTCCTTTCCGGCTTCGGTGGCTGCCACATACTCCGACTCAGTCAATGACAACATCGCGCACTTGATGCGCTGGCTCGACCAGGAGACCGCGGCCCCTCGGTAGACGAACACGTAGTCGCCCGTTCTCGTCTGGCTCTGCTTGTCACAAGCGTCGTTGGCATCCACGTAGCCGACCTGCTCCAGCGACTCAGGTCCACCGCCGAACTCCAGGGCGGTGTCATGGATGTTGGCGAGGTAGGTGAGGCACCGGTCGACCTCGCGGCAGTGCTAGTTGCTCCTCGCCCTGAGGCCACTTCCCAGCTTGCTGCAGGCGAAGGCGATGTCCGGCCTCATCGTCGTCGCCGCGAACTGCAGCGAACCGACCTTGTGCTGGTACTCCTCCTCCTATCGCTCCTGTGCCTCCTCGTAGTCAAATGTGAGCTCGACGTAGGCGTTGACTGAGACCGGCATCTTCGGGGTACGCCCGGTCAGCTCATCGTTGATTAAGCGCCTATGCAGCTTGTCGGCGTAGCCCTGCTGGTGCAACCACAGCTTCCCCGCCGACCTGTCGCGGACGATCTCCAGCCCGAGGTACTTCTCCACCGGCGAGATCTCGCGCAGCTTGAAGGCGGCCTCCAGCAGCTCCTTCAGCATCTCGGTGCTGCTGCTGGCGGTGAGCATGTCGTCAACATAGACCAGCATCCAGCAGGCCACTCCATCGTCAACCTTGAAGTACAGAGCCTCGTCGACATGGCTCTTCTTCCACCCGGCCCCGACCAGCACATCGTTGATCGCCAAGTACCACAGCAGCGGCGACTGCTTCAGCCCATACAGGCTCTTCAACAGCTTGCACACCCGGCCGGTTCCGTCGTTGAAGCGGTTCGGCTGGAACATGTACAGCACCCGGTCGAGCTTGCTCTGCATGAAGGCGTTCTTCATGTCGAGCTGCATCAGGTTGAGTTTGAGGACGGTGACGATGCTGAGAAAGATCCTCAGCGTGACGTAGCTGCTCACCGGCGAGTACATCTCATCGTAGTCGTCCAGCCTTGCCTTCTCGCGCTCGACGGTGTCGTCGATGTGGTACTTCGTCGTCAGCACCCACCGGTTCTTCATGATGTTCACTCCTGGTGGGCGTTCGACCAACTCCCTCGTGCCCATGTTGATGAGGCTGCGGATCTCCTCCTCCATGGCGGCCTTCACCGCCGGCCCCTTCCAGCTTGACAATGCCTCCTTCACCGTCATCGTCGAAATGTCCCAACGGTGCTCGGGGTCGGCGTCCATTTCGCGGTCGAGCTCTGGAAACTTCTCATCCTCCTCAGCGTCGTCGTACAGCAGGTCATCGTCGTCGACGTCGTACACCGTGGTGAATGCAACGGGGACGAAAAAGTCGGGTGGCCTCCGAATTCGACCGGACATCTGCGGCTCAGGCTGAACCTCCACCACGTCGCTCTTGGTGGACCCCTCGGCGCCCCCTCCTTCGTCGCCGGCTTCGCTGCCCTCATCGTCCTGCTACACGTTGGTCAGCTTCCTGGCCGACTTCTCCCCCGTGGTCGGCTCCTCTGCCGGCTGCCTGGTTGCCGACTGCTCTGTGGTCGTGTCACCGCTGCCTACCGTCGGCTGCTGCCCTGCTGGTGTCTTCTTCGCCGGCTTCACCCAAGTCGACTGCTCCTCCTCGACCTGCTCCTCCCATATCAACGTCGACTTCAGTCCCACGTCGAATTAACTCCCACGGCGACTTGCTGCTCGTCACGTCAGCCACCGGCGATGCTCTTGGCCGGTGCCGAAGGCGACGGCCTACTACTCCCCTCATCGCCGGAGGCCGACACAAGAGGCAGCCCGCGCAGGTCGGCCACGAGGGAAGGGGCAGGGGTCGTAGGGGGAGGGAAAGGGGATGGAGGACAGACGACCTCGGCGTCCTCAGCAGCAAGCTCACCGTCCTTGGCGAGCAGAGGCAGGGTCGTCGTCGAGGTGTAAGTCGGCGGGGTGGTCGGCGTCCGTCCTGACACCGGCCCGTGCTCCGACTTCCATACCTCCAGCGACATATCCTCGTAGAACACCATGTCCGACGTGGTGACCACCCGGTTGTCGGCCATGTCGAGGAGCTCCCAGACCTTGCTCTCCTCCGACATGCGGAGGTGAAGGCCCCACCTGGCCTTCGGCTTCAGCTTCCCACCACGCTGCTGCTCGGGGACAAGGAACTACACCATGCAGCCCCACACACGAGCCAGCGACAAGTCAGGCTTCTTCCCGGTCAGCAGCTCGTACGGTGTCGTCCCTGACGGCAGTGTGGACCTCTCCAGGCAGTTGCGGGCTCAGACGGCCTGCCGCAGAGCGAGGTGCCACCAGTGGTGCTGCACGCCCATGTGCAGCAACATTGTCCGCACTGTTCTCATTTCCCGCTCCGCCATGCCGTTCTGCTGTGGGGTGTACGGGCAGGTAAGGTCGTGGACGATCCCCTTGGCGTCCACGAAGTCGGTGAAAGCCCGGCCGAGAAACTCCCCTCCTCGGCCAGAGCGAAGCATCAGCGCCGACTTCTTCGCCTGCCGCTCCATCAACACCAGGCACTTCTGGAACTCCAGCAGCGCGTCCGACTTCTTCGAGACCGACCTCACCCATACGTAGTGGGTCTTGCGGTCCTTCAGCAATAAGAAGTACAGGCTCCCGTCCTTGACAGCCATGCGAAACGGTTTGCACAAGTCGATGTGCACGACGGCCAGCACGTCGTCGGCGTCGGAGCCATGGTCGGGGAAGGTGTGCCACGCCAGCTTCCCGCCAACACACGAGACACACGGTGAGTCAGCGCCCGACGCTGACTTGAGGTCCAGCCTAGCAGCGACCTCGTGCTTCGCTGAGCTCTGTATGGTGTCCATGCCTACGTGTGCAAGCCTCGCATGCAGCCTGTCCGGCGTCCACGTCGTCGCCGAGACAATCGCCCGCAGAACCACGACCTCCGTCGTGGGCGACGTCGACCTCGTTGAGTAGGGACGCAGGTCGGTGCAAAGGACTTGGCCGGTGTAGGACGCCCGACCGAGGACGTCTCCCGCCACCGAGACGAGCGACATCCCGTCGCCGTCCTCCTGCAGCTTCACGCCTTTCTCTTTCAGCTGACAGGCGGAAAGCAGATTCCCTCGCACGCCCGGGACGTAGAGCACATCGGGGATGAGCACCTACTTCCCGGCCTTCCATTGCAGAGCAACAGTGCTGCGGCCCTGAACATCCTGCAGTGCCCCATTGAAGCCGTGCACGTGCTTGACGTCGCCGCTCGGCTGCAGGTCGATGAAGGCCTCCTTCGTCCCCATCAGATGGTGCGAGCAGCTGCTGTCGAGCAGGACTACCGCCAAGTTCGCCTGCACAGCCGCTGCCACTGCCTGGAAGTCCTCGCCGGCCTCCCGCGCCAGCGAGATGGTCGGCTCCACGACGCTGACCAGCAAGCATGACGCCTCCGTGTTGTCCCGCCCTTTGCCGCCAACAGAGGAGTCGACGTCCTTTGCCGAGGTCGACTTGTTCGACTGTTTCTCCCTGCGCGGTTGATTTCCTCGACATTGACGATGACTACCAGACCTCCCTCGGCCTCCCTTGGTGTCGTCGTCGTTGAAGTCACCGCGGTCGGGACACTCGAAGGAGAGGTGGTCGGGGCTATGGCAGATGCAGCACTCCCGACGCCGATTTACTCCTCCTCGACCGCTGTCTTTGGCCGACTTCTTCGTGTCTGCGTCCTTCGCCGACTTCCACCCGCTGCTTCCGCCGCCGCGAGACTGCCCACGTTGTCCCGGTCGGCCACCCTGCTTCGCCGGGGCGACGTAGTTTGCCTACGCCAGACGTTCCTGGGATTACTCAGCCTTCTCCATCGCCTCGTCTTGCAGGATGTTCGAGGTCAAGTTGTCCTCGTTGAGCGTCGCCCTCGTGCTCGGCGCCATGGACAGCCGCTTCAGGAGGTTGTAGCTGCTCGAGAGTCCTTGCATGATGTGGGTGACGTACGATGCCGTCGAGTACTGCGCGCCGGCCATCTTGATGATGGCAAGAATTCATCGGGCTAGGTTGCAGTAGTCGGTAGTAGTCTCCTCGTCGCCCATGCGTAGGTGCGTCAGCTGCCCCTGAAGCTTGGCGATGAACAAGTCGTCGGTGACCTGGTACGTCGACTCGATGAAGTGCCACGCCCGGTGGCCGGTGTCGAGGTACTCTCGGCACCACTTCAAGGCGATCTGCACGCCTGGCGAGCAGCACCGCGAGATGAGTCTGAAGGTTAACAACTGAATGGCGCGAAACTCCGCTCGCAGGTTGGGGTCCTCCGGCATCGCCACGGTGCCTCGAGCAAAGCTGATCAGCTGGGCTCGATGGCTTCCTTCCAGGTGAGTATGTCTAGTCGACCAACGAGCGGCGGGGTGCCTGTACGGCGTAAACTTGAAGTAGCCATAGCTCAGTGCAATCCCGCCCGCCGTCACCTGGGTCGCCGACATCGGCGACAGTCCACTTCGTCGACCTCGGTACAAAAACGGGAGCTAGACTACGGGCTAGGCACGGGTGCTCGTGTGATCTCTGCATTCGTTGTTCCTTAGTCGTCTTCCTAGTGCGCACACTGCTTGCTAGTGTTGGTGCAACCCTACGGTCTGCACTCGGCTTGTTGTCCGTGTGCGTGCTTGCGTGAATGCATGGAATGGAATGAGGGCACGGGATAATATATATATTTCATTCTTATAATTGTATGTGAATGATGGGTCATGATGTCGAGTGTGTGTGTCAAGTCAATAGCGAATTATCGCTAGTCGCATGTAACGTGGTCATTTTGTGTGTCCCGCGCGGTTTCTACTTTGTCGTGCGCGGTTTCTATTTTGTCGCTTGTCGAACGTTCGGCGTGTCGCAGGTGTGTGCAGCAGACCCATCAAGAACTCAAGGATGAGTTTGTGATGAAGAACCCGAGCCCTGGTGTCAAGATTCAAGTGATCGCGAAGCTCGCCAAAGAAGGGTTCATCTCAAGAAATTGAAGATAGTTACATTACTTTGTGTAGTGTAACATTTCACTTGGTGTAGGCCCTAGTGAAGGGTAGTTTCGAGACCCTTCGTGGTTGGGGACAGTGTGGCACTGTTCCACATCACTGTACCTCGGCTCTTGGGGTTTGTAGGAGCGGGGAGTCATTCCCAACTCGTAACTCTTGGTAACTCTTCCTATCTTGTGTTCTAGGACTATAGTGGCTGCTATAGTGCCGTTCGTTCAAACGGACGCTGTGTCGTTAATACTTGATCAAAACGTGCGATCTAAATTGTGTATTGTAGGCGACGTTAAGACGCTTTAGATCCAAGTTGAATCAGGTCATTTGAAGCTGTGACCAGAACGCTATGAACGTTTAAATCCTCTGTGCAGAAATCTGACAGTGCACTGTATCTCTCGTTTTAGGCACATTGAAGCCTACTGTGACTATAACAGCTAGTTCACAGGCCAATTTTGCAAGAGTTTCACTAAGGAAAGTTGACAACAATGGTACACACAAGGTGCAGCGCGTACGTGGTCCAGCAGGTCCTTGCGCGGCGTCATCGTCCAAGCAGCGCCCGTGTCCAACACCCAATAGTCCAGAGGGTGCAGCTCTTCTCCAACCTTGGCAGATGCGTCTTCTTGCTCCCCCTGTTCTCCAATATGGAAGAACTGGCCCGCGGTGCGCTCCTTCTTTTCCGCACCGCCGTTGCTCTTCGAGTTGTTGTCGGACGAATCCGCGACCATGCTCGCGCCGTTTTTCTGGTTCCTCCGCGCGCCGCCATCCTGGTGACGATTCTGGGGGGTCCATCCATCGGGTTTCTTATAGCACAAAAACCAGGGATGCCCCTCCTTCTCACAATACCAGCAAGTTCCTTTCATTTTGCCACCAGCACCCGACTTGCCCCCACGTCCAGATTTCGCACCACGACCCCAACCGGTACCTCCTTGTTGGTCGTTGGAGTCGTCGTCCTTCTTTGCACCGCGTCCAGCACCACCGAAGCCACGTCCCCTGCCACGTCGGCTCCCTTGCATCCCGTAGCCGCTGCTGCCGTCGTCTCCACCCCTCAGTTGGCGGCGACGGAAGACCTCCTCCAGAATCTTTGTCCGCACCCACTCGAGCGTCCACGAGCTCTGGTTCTGCAGCAAGCTCAATCCGCTTATGAATTGAAGCCACGATTCCGGTAGCAGCATGAGCCCCTTCAAGCACTTGGTCTGCTCCAGGTAGGTGATTCCCGCGGTCGCCAACTTCGCGTAGAGGTCACGCATCTTGTCCAGGACAGGTTGCACCGGCTCTCCCTCGCTCAGGCGCAACACGGACAGCTCCCTCTCCAGCATCAACGTTGCAACAACGAAGGTCGGGGCGTGCAGCTCCTTCAACACGGTCCACGCCTTCGGACCGCACTCAACCTCCGGCAGCAGGTGCATGACGTGGTGATGCTGGTTCAGCTCCAAACTCTGCGACATCAAGTAATAGCCAGCCGAGGAGCGCTCGTCCCAATCTTCCTGCAGCGTGGGGTCACCCGGTCTAGGCTCCTCCCCAATCATTAGTTTCAGCAAAACGATCTGACGGAAATACAATTGCATCTTCCAGGCCCAATCATCATAGCCCTCATCATTGAACTTCTCGACAGTAAAATTCTTCAGCACCTCCTTGACCAGCGAGCCCTGGTTTGTTCGCGCTCCCCTTGGCGCTGAAACACCAGAATCATGGCTGCCGCTACGATCTTGGGCTGAAGATTCACTAGCTCCCGTCGAGGTGTTGCCCGCCATAGCTACCTATAACGAGGATCACTATAACGCAGCTCTGATACCAGCTTGTTGGTGTAAGGGCCCAATAAACTCAAGCTATTAAGACTCTATCAAACTTAAAACCTCTCCTCGGGGTCACCTCCAAGGGTCCTTGGGTGCCTGGTACAAGACCAGCCCCTATCCTCTGGTCTGAATTTGTAGAGAGAGGGATCAAGAGGGACTTAGTCAAAACAGCAAGAGTACCTTGAACGTCGCGCAGCGTATCGTGCAGACCGTCAATCGGATTAAGCTGAGAATTTCCAAAATCGAAGCTCGCTCCAAGAGCTTTAAAATAAGCCAAGTTGCCTTGCGAAAAGTTCTGCCATTACAAAGTTATGGCTCGGACAGCGTTTGCCTAGTGTTGGAGTGCTACTGTTCTAGCGTTGACTCATGTAGCATTCTGCCGTCGCACCGCGTAGAAACGAAATTCCAGGAAGGGAGGAATTCGCTTGAATCAAATTGACTATATCCAGGTACAAACAGAGAAGGAATAAAAAGTTTTACCTAGCAAGGAACTTGGGAATGAACCTGGGAACAACCAGGGATGATCCCAAATAATTCCAAGCAACAGAACCAACTTGGCTGGACAAAACAGCAGGTGGTAGGTTGGTAAACAACCTCTGGTTCTGTTTTTCCAACCTGGGAAAACAACAACCAGGTTCAGGTCCTAAAAACAGAACCTGTTTCGTCTTTGCCCAACCAGCCAAAAGCTGCTTCCGCTGGTTTCCCCTGGCCCTGTAGCATGCAGATAGAGACAAACAACATCCAACCTTTACCTAAATTGTACCCCTATAGTGCCTGCCCTGCTACACTATAGTCAACCAACCAAAATAGTACAATTTCGAGTTGGATAGAACTGAATCTGCACAATCAATTCAACCGGACCGCAAAGCTTCCATCTTGGGCTCCTTTGCGAGCTCGTCCTTTCTGCTTGTACTGTTCATAGCGCGTACAATGTTGTGCCAAAGCGCACAATTTGCGAGTACCTGCAAATGCTTAAAGCGAAAATTGCGAAAGCAAACAAACACACGAACATTCCATTCACACCCAAATGCATTCGCACACACATACTCGTACAAACAGACAGCAGGATGTCATGCAATATGAATTTGCACCCAACAGATGGCTGGCCATTCAGCTTCAGACCGTTGACGAACCCATCCTTCTCAAGCTGCTTCAGCAAAGGCATTGCTACATGTCCGTCTCCGCAGATCTGGCTGACACTTTCACACCAACCCCTCCAACAGCGTTGCACTGCCCCTGGGATGCAAACCCCTCTCCAACCTGCCCCCCACCGTGCCACGCCAATGCCGGCAGCTGCCGCATGCATCTGTACACGTCTCAGCTCTCGTGCAGATCCCAAAGCACCCAATTGCCCAGTTGCCCCTTGTATGTGCGTGCCCCATCCGTGGTAGTGCTCACCCCAGCCTTGCCAAGCATACGGAGGGAGATGAGGTTGGCCTTAAGATCAGGAACGAGGAGAACGTCGTGCAGCACCACCGGCTTGCCATCCGCTCCCTTAAACGCAACTCGTCCGGCACCAGCCACCTTCAGCGCGTGTCGAGAGGCGGAGCACACCTCATTGCTCGGTGCAGCGCGTACGTCGTCCAGCAGGTCCTTGCGCGGCGTCATCGTCCAAGCAGCGCCCATGTCCAACACCCAATAGTTCAGGGCGTGCAGCTCTGCTCCAACCTTGGCAGAGGCGTCTTCTTGCTCCCCGTGCTCTCCAATGTGGAAGAACTGGCCCTTGGTGCGCTCCTTCTTCTCCGCACCGCTGTTGCTCTTCGGATTGTTGTCGGATGAATCGGCAACCATGCTCGTTGTTGGTGTAAGGGCCTAATACACTCAAGCTATTAAGACTTAATCAAACTTCAAATCTCTCCTCGGGGTCACCTCCAGGGATCCTTGGGTGCCTGGTGCAAGACCAGCCCCTATCCTCGGGTCCGAGTTTTTAGAGAGAGGAGTCTAGAATGACTTAGCCAAAAAAACAACAGTACCTTAAATGTCGCGCAGCGTATCGTGCAGACCGTCGATCGGATTAAGCTGAGAATTTCCTATATCGAAGCTCGCTCCAAGACCTTTCAAAGTTTGCCTCGCAAAAAAATCTGCCATCACGGGGTTATGGCTCGGACAGCGTTTGCCTAGCATTAGAGTGCTAGCGTACTAGCCTTGAATAGGGTAGCATTTCGTTGTCGTACCGCGTAGAAACAAAATTCCAGGAACGGAGGAATTGGCTTGAATCATTTTTAACTATTTTCAGGTACAAACAGAGAAGGACTAAATAGTTCTAGCTAGCAAGGACCTTGGGAAACAACCTGGGAACAACCAGGGATGATCCCAAATAATTCCAAGCAACAGAAAACTTGGCTGGACAAAACAGCAGGTGGTGGGTTGGTAAACAACCTCTGGTTCTGTTTTTCCAACCTGGGAGAACAACAACCAGGTTCAGGTCCTAAAAACAGAACCTGTTTTATCTTTGCCCAACCACTCAAATGCTGGTTCCGCTAGTTTCCCCTGGCCCTTTAGCATACAGATACAGACAAACAACATCCAAACTTTAACTTAATTGTACCCCTATAGTGCCTGCCCTGCTACACTATAGTCAACGAAACAAAACAGTATAATTTCGAGTTGGATCAAACTGAATCTGCACAATCAATTCAACCGAACCGCAAAGCTTCCATCTTGGATTCCTTTGCA